ACTTTTTGATTTTAAAAATTGTCTTCAAATTATTGCCTAAATATCTAGAATCAAAAGACCTTGGTTTGAATATCAGAGCTATTACTACTAGTTCTGTGCCTATAAACCAGTCACATAATTATCTGATTTTCAGTTTCCTTGCCTGTTAAATGAAGACAACTGAGCTATCCAAATTCAAGTAAATATTAAGATAGCCATCTTATTAACAGTATTGTCATTTAGACTATCAAACAGAGGCCACAGGCACAGGACGTCTGTGTTCCAAACATACTCTGCCAGCCCAGTACTTAATGCGGTTTTGAATTTGGATGCCTCTGAGGATGGCATTCAGTCTCAGATCTCACTCTCCACCCCTGGGACTTGACTTGCCCCTGTCTGAGGACATCTGCACACGTCACTCAGCCAGAACTCTGACACTGGACTTGAAGTCCGTGAGAAAGAATACAAACCAAGAAATTGCTACTTTCCTGCCTACAGCTCAAGTAACAAAGTATATCTCAACCCCCCCCCAATTCATGCTTTTTTTAAACTATACTTCTTTGTGAGCAGAATATTCTACATGCAACATATCTGGCAACCATGACAAACCTGAGGTGCTAGAATCCTATCACATATCAGACAAGACATTTCTAAGTATTCCAAATTCTGCATTTATATTTCTATACGAACACGGATTGCTCAAGCAGTTTTGTGAAAAACTGTACTTAAAAACTTGCATCAGAATTCAGAAAAGATGAAAGAAGGGTTTTAGTTTCAACCTGAGCTCAATTAACAGAGGAAACACGAAAGCGGCCTCCGCTAAGTAACTTCTTGGTTCTTGATCCAGTCCCAACACACCAGGAAGCCACTCAATATGGGTTTGGAAAGCGGAGTTATATGCTTCGTGTTGTGTTAGCACCCTGCTGGCTTGGACCTTTCTGCCAGCCTCGCCCGGGGGGCCACTATGAAGCCACTGTCACAGACGAGTCATGGTGCCTGCGTGCGTCTACACAGCGGTGCGAAATTGAACTCAAAGTAGTGTCTCTGTGACAGCTTTTCAACAAGTCATGTCCCATTCAGCCTGCTAGTTTATCTCT